AGAAAGACGGGCCAACATGGTTTTGTCTAGATTAGCGCATGGTCAATAAGGTTTCACAGTTTGATGTTTGTGGCCTGGGTCAACAAGCTGCTGGACTAGTTTAGTACTGCGTGCTTTTTCACAACACTGGATATAACCAAGAGCTTCTGCCAGAGACCAACGAAACATGATGTCTCCACTCCATATGCTTTACAACAATTTTACACTCTTCCTTTCAGGATGTTTGGCTTTCCAGTGCCTTATGGGCCGGATGCTGGATGATGTCATCAATTCATTGTAGTTCGATTTGCTTTACACACAGTTGCCCCAAAGCAACACCTGAGCAGATAATGTGCTGGCTGCAATCCTGGAGACCCTGGAGCAGGTGGATCTTGGGGGTTGACTACTTCGTGGTACACATAAATTTTTTTTAGTCCTTTATTTATCCAAGAAAAAAACCCAATGAAAATAAAAAACCAAATTTCAAAAAAAAACCGGCCGCAAGAATGGAAACCGGTGGAAGGGGCCGCCCAAAAAAAAAAAAGAAAAAAAAAAAACTGGGTATTCAGTGGTCGGGATCCTCCTGGACCTGCCAGTGACCCACACTTCACTCCAGTGGCCACACCACATGAAAGCTGCACCCACATCATTCAGTGGTCTCTCTTTCTAGTGGAAGTTCTCTTTCTGCAGTGTTTTGGATTAACTGAAGGCTTTTAAAGTAGCCTAGAAATAATAACTGCATGAACCAGCTTTTCAGCATCACGCAGAGACAGGATGCTTCTCCTTTAGCAATATTAAGCAGATAAAAAGACAGGAGTGCAACACAGAGTAATGGTATAGAAACACTATTACAATTTTAGAGTAAAGCACAATTCCTGAGCTTCCACAGAACTGTTACACATATTTTTGTTTGTTTAGTTATTTTCTCTGTTGCTTTTCAATCTCCAGTGCTCCCACTTTGGGTGAGCCTGGGTCCACTAGAGTCTTCAATGATTCACACTCCAATGGATGCATCAAAGAGCAACTCGGGGTTTGTATCCTGTCCAAGGATATTTGGCATGCAGACTGGAGCAAACAGGGATTGATCCACCATCCTTCCGATTAGTAGGTGACCTGTTCTAATACCTGAGCAACAGCCACAAATATCCAGAATAAACAAATATCCAGGACGTCTGTCATCTCAGCTAAAGTTGGAACTATCTCATTCAGGCTGCTGGGAAACATGACCGTGCATTTCTTAATTCTAGGCTGGAACTCCGACTAGGATTTCTTACAGGCTCCTTTTAAAAGACTTTTATTAGCAAGCTTTTCTAAAAGTTCCCTGAAAGTTCCCATTGTTGCAATTTCTGACCTTTTTCTTTCAAACAGGCTTCATAACACACGCTCACATCCACTCTCTTCATCACTCACAAACACACATGCACCCACACACCAACACACACAGTGAAAATAGATATTTGCTTGTGTACCTTCCTGTTGTGTCTTTCAGGTGTCGTGTATTGCTCGTGAGTGCTGTGTTACAGATCCAGATTGTCTGTTTGCTTCATCCTGGATTTTCCCCCATCACCGTTCTTTTCTCTCTTTCCTCTCTCTCCACTTTTTTCTCTTATCTTTTGCCAATCAGTTCTAGACCCACTGTCTGCTCCAGCATAATGTCCACACAGACAATAATATGGATAATAACACAACCAAAACATTACCAAGAGGAGCCTACAGAGAGTCTACGTTGGTCCTGTTGGGAAATATGTTTGGCACAACAAAGCATTCAGACCATTCATCTGCTTGCTACAACTGCTGGACAGGACAGGTTAAAAAAAGTTCCCTGAAAAGACTTCAGCTGATCCAAAACGAGTGAGAGTGGGACAGAGATCCTTTTTTAATACTCTGTGTTAAATTGTTTGTAAAATGATTCTTCTCATATACAAAGTCCTGAATAATCAGGCCATATCACGTCTTAAAATGCCCCTTAGTAAAGCATTTTGTTCTTAGACTTCAGGCTTATTTTTGGTTTGGTGAGTTTCCAAAAGTAGTGAGGCAGAGCCTTCAGCTGTCAGCTGTGGAATAAGCTCCGAGCTCGGATTTACCGGACACACACCCGCTCTACTTTTAAGAGAAGGCTTAAAACCTTCCTTTTAATAATACTTTTAACTATACTTATGGACCAAGCCTCATTTTTGTAGCTAAAGGCTGTAGGATGCTGGAGGACCTCCAATGATGCATTGAGCAGTTATTCAGTTCTCCACTCCCCTCTTTTGGCGTCTGCATTAATTTTAATCTTCTGTCTCTCTCGTTTCTTCTTTTCTCTTTCCTATCAAACCCCAAAGTCACAGTAGATGGATGCGGCTCCTTGAACCTGAGTCTGCTGTACATCAACTGATGAGTCTCTCTCAAATATTTGTTTTTACCTCACAAAGTCCTTAAAGTGACTGTTTCAGAGAACTGGAGCCAGGGTTGTGTTAATAAAGCTGATTCAGAGTCATGACATAATTTACACCTTGGTGACAGAAGTCCTGATTATAAGAAGACTTTTGCATCTGTCCAAGAACTAAATAATCAGCTATGTGTTCACGAAGAGCCCCGAGATATTCTACTGATGTAACCAGACAGATAAAGCCTTCTGGGTTATCACCTCCTCAGTAATGAACCTGTATGGAGGTCAAATAAAAATCTATTAGACGCGACGCAGAAAAACGCTGAAATGAAGCCAAACTGTTCTGGATTATTTGAGCTGTGGTCTCCTCCAACACCACAGCTCAAAGAGCATCCTGCTATAAAACCAGCACAAGAAAAACGCAGCGGATTATGTCGAGGACAGAGCGCAGAGGCGGCGACATCTGCAGCAATTATCTCAACTCGTTTGTCG